TTGAAGTCTGAAGGAGCTTTCGAGACAACAGATGGAAAAGTTTACTTCACTGACCAACAGTTTCATTATAGAACATCTCATTGACTTTAGAGTCGAAATATTCTAAACTTTACAACAACACCAAAAAGTTGAAAGGAAAACAAAAACAAATGGCATATGATATTTATGAAGATGTTGACGATACAACCATACCTGCAAGTGAGGTAAAGTCAGAGGAACCGAAAAGTGACGAAAAACCGACTAGAAGAAGAAAAACCAAAAACTGAAGATAAACCAAAACCAAAGTTTAGTTTCCAAACTAACCAAGTCAACCTTCATTAGCTGGTATGGGTTGCGCGTCAAAGACTTATGGCAGCAGGCGGTTATGTTAATAAAGAAAAAAACATTTTTTTATTTTTATAAAAATGCCCCCATATAGAATGGATAGAAAGTCTGCTAGAATAAAAGCAGAGTTGCAAGATATGGTTGGAGAGTTTCAAAGAAGTTTAAATATAGGAAGGGAAAGCCAATAAAAGTCTATGACAAATTGTCTGGTCTTCGCTACGAATGGAATTGGAAACAGCACGCGCAAATTATCCAAACAGACTAGAGAGGTTAGAAGAAGAACGTCTTATGGACATGCCTTTCGATGTTAGTGAACCTCAAGTTTAGGACACGACGGCTTTGCCAGATTCTACTGGAAACATGACGACAATTGCATCCTTTGAGAAGGAAAAAAGGAAAAAGGTGAAGACGCACATGCTCCCATGGAAAGAACAAGATATGCATATGAGAAGTACCGTGAAGTTAGAAGTCAAATTACATCTGCTCGAACTTACTACGTAAACTTTGACGAAGGAAAGAACAAAGAAGGCTTCATGGGAGTACTTGCTGCAATTCAAGATGGAAATAAGAAAGGATACAATCTCAGATTGACCATAACAGATTTGGATGGTCACATTTACTATGCACATTGGCAATGTCACAACAGCTGCAATGCTCTTCTTGACGCTTTCAAGACTACAAAGAGAGAACAAATGGTTGACTCCGACTCAGACATTTTGAATGCAATTGAAGGAATTGCAAGTGTCAAGTTCGAATGGTACCAACCTAACCTCAAGCAGTCAGACAACATGCTGGATACTTTCCGTTCATAAATATAGTCTGACATTGACTTGACAAGGTATGGAATTTACAATTCAATTGCAAACAAATTGTCATAGACCTTGTATTCTTACATGTCTCAGGAACTCTGTCTTGTTACAGATGAGAGATGAAGTATCTTGAGTCATGTGTGAAGACAAGGTACATCTCAGAGGTCAATTGGCAAAAATTGCACCGTTGGCAAATGTCAATATCCGAGTCAGCATACCTACAGCTAAAGGTTCTTCACATGACGACTATGTTGTTGACAAAGACTTACCATGGTTGAAGATTGTAATTGTCCACAACCACTTCATGTTGAAACGAAAGTCTTACACAACCCATTGTTCGGAAAAGGCAAGTGCAACATTGTCAGAGCTGTAAACATTCTTTTCGAGAAGATTTGTTGGAACCAATTCCAGATGACAAGCTGACAGAAACTTTTGTACCAAAAGACGAAACAAACTTTTCATTGTTAGCAAGACAAAAGTTGTTCCAGACAAAGTTATTAGCACAAAAGAAGTACACTGTTCCAAAAGGAGTTGGATTGTTCGGATACCAACCTGAACCAGAAGAACTTCCAATGAGGTTGCAAGAACTTCAAGATGCTATAAACAAACTTCCATTGAGACATCCAATTGACGTCAAATTGTATTGGAGAGCATCTGAGTTAGGTCAGAAGGTTTTATATGAAACAGGTTGCTTCGACGATGTTTATGAGATAACAGGAGAAGTTTCTCAGAGATAAGAGACTCACTTGAATTTCCACAAACTGGACCAAATTGGTTGCGACAAGTTCGACTCAAACGAAAAGATATACTATGTCGACCTAACGCTGCATACATGAGGTTCGTCCAATATATCCCGACTGGAATTCCAAACGAAGATGGAGATGTTCCCAGGAAGGAACTATACAGTTGGAAAAGTCATACAACAACTGTATGATATTAGAAAGCTTCAAACCCCAACTTGCAATGACACTCAAATTGCTTATGAATTCGACATGGGGATATTCCATTAAAAAACCTCAAGAGATGAAGAGTAAACATTATGAGAAGGTCGACAACTTTGTTGAAAGGTTTTCTCCTTTTGTTTTTGAAGTACGAATTCACTCAAGGTCAAAGTGGCTTAGTAAACCACATTAAAACCTATTGTCGAACATTGGTCTTACCCTCAGTTCGCAAAAGGCAGTCTCTTGACAACTACAACAAATTCTTCTCCGAAGTCAAATCGAAAGTTGTGGTTTACTATGAGAACATTGACGCACTCATGTACGAACGAAGAAGGCTATAACAAACTCATTGAAATGGGAATGGTCGGTGAAAAGATGGGTCAATTCAAATTGGACAAAATTTTCACCGAAGTTCATGTCCTCTCCAAGCGTAAGTTACTGGGCATACTTGAATGACGGCACAGAAATAAACATTGCATGAATAAAAAAATTTTTATATTCCTTCCTAGCTAATTTCGTTAATTTCATGGTCGCTCGAGCTCGGAGTCTTTGAATCGGACAGGTCGAGTTACACCATTCTTTGGTCTCAAACTCCATATATAACTGTTGTTTTCTGTATTTTCGTCGACATATGGCCAGCGAGACACGAACATTGACCAAACGGACAAAAAGTGTCATTTCGGATGGTCAAGCAGCCAATCGCATTCGAGCACTTCGAAGAAGCCTTACGTTCCAAGGAAGAGGGTGTCTCGGTGCAAGGGAGAGGTCATGGAGACTCTACGAGCAGTACATTCCTCAATGCCTGGGAGACAAATCGTCCTTGATTGGCAAATCTACCAACTTCCTCTGGGACGACCTCCTACGCAACTGGGAGAACGGAAAGAGTCCAATTCAAAGGTCGGGAGACTAATTTTGCAAATTGACCTTAATTTCACATACTTATCCAAATAAAACACCTAAATTTACTTGGGGTTTCCCCCTAAAATAAAATTTTTTACTCTTAGAACACTCGAGGTTCTCCTTACGGTTGTTGAGCTTGTCACCGTCAATGTGTCTTGACCTTTCGTTCTTCTTGCCTGGATTTGGAACCCATTGAATTTGCGACAAGCTTGCCCATTGGAAATTGAACCGCGATTCCGAAGGTTAAGGTTCAAGTGTCCCAAGTTGTTGAGGACTGGGGTAAGAACTTGCCGGTCTCCCGTGTTGCGGATTGATGGGGTAGGGTTGGGAAATTTCGTAAGTGTCATCGCAACAAGGGTTGCCCAAACTTCCTCTTCTTCGTGGTTTCTCTTCTTCCTCTTCTTTCCTCTTCCTCTTCTTTCGTGTTTCCTCTTCTTCCTCGACAATTCCTTCTTCATTCTGTGTTCACGAATTACGCGTGTTGCATGTTCTGTCCTTTCCGAGTACCTTCCAGATGGCGTCTATCTCTTCGAAGAAAACGGTAGTATGAAGTCTGGCAAGGTCTCTCTCAAGCTTCTATAATATTTTCTTTCCATTCTACTTGTTCATATTTATATCCAGTGAAGAAGAATAGAAGTTTGGAGAAGGTGTATAGAACTTTATACCTTGAACTGAAAATCTTCTAACTTTGACAATAAGATATCCAAGCATCTAACATCTTCATGCCAAACTTGTACGACTTTTATTTTCTTAAGTTTTTTGTCTACATTCTTGTTCTGAAACTATTGTTGCTCTTGGTTTGTTAAAGACAACATCCATTCTTTCATGACATAACATTCTGCGGGCAGAGTCAACATAAATGACTAAACGTTTCAAATTCTCGACTGCTTTGTTATAGTCTCTAAATGGACACATATTTCTGAATGCTTGGAAGTCATAAAAATCTGAAACATCTATTCTGTACATTTTTTATAAAAATAAAAAAAATATTTTTTTTATTCTTGAGCTATTTGTTGTTGCATTTGTTCCATTTGTTGCATTTGTGTCTTGAGCTATTTGTTGTTGAAGTTGTTCTTGTAATACAATACTTTCACCAGTTGTATCTTCCAATTCGAAACTTTCTGCCGTCATTGACAAATACATAGGACATAAAAGTTTTACAGGAACAAAGTTTGCGTCAACTAATGTCAACGTTATACTTGCCAAAGTGTTTGAGTTCACTAAGGTTGAAAATTCTGCATTCGAATGAACAATAGGCAAACCAGCAGAGAAAGTATTGTTTATACGCATAAGTATCTTTTGGTCATAATAGTTTCTGTCGACATTCGAATAACACTTTGAACCTAAGTTTGAAACAATATATAAGATTGGTGTGCTTAATGTCAATGGAATAGACATTCCTTGTATGACACCTTTTCCTGTTATAGGAAACTGTTGGTAGTAAAAACCAGAAATAAGTTTTGTATTATAGCTCATATTGTTTATAGTAAACTCAGTCGGACATCCAAACATAATGAAACCTGCTCTAGTTGCAGCACATGTTACACCCGTCCTTAAAGTATTAAATAAGTCAACAAAACCTGTTGGTGGTATATCTGAGTAAGTATCTTCAAAGGAGTATTTTTTACCATTCACAACAATAAAATCTTCTGGTGTCAAAAGAGCAAAACAGGCTTTAGTCGTCATTGTGTTTAAAGTTAGTTTACAATATCGTCCTTGAGGACTTTGTAAGTTTGTTGTTATAGAATTATATGACTCAGGGTTTTTAGTCGTAATAGTATAAACCATTATATCTTCTGCCATTTACTTAGCAAATAAATTTTAATGAAATGTTGTGGTCGTCAAATATTTTTATGACGTCTGGGAAACTATACTTTAAGTTCAACGTTTCACCTCCTTTCATAACGTATATCTTGTCAATGACATTATATGAAACACCACAGCAACTAATGTCGGGTTCTATTTCTTTGATGTTTATATCGTCTGCCTCTGTCAAAAGTTTCAATAGTTCTTTCAAAACTTCATGAGGTGCAATGACATATGAGTTCACTTTTACAGGGTTGTGTTCGACCAAGTTTAACATTATACCTAAAGCTTGACAAATCTTCTCCTGAGTTTGAAGTTTGTCTTTAAGTTGTTGGTAGTCGTTTCGAATATCTGCAACAGAACTTAAGTCTCTGCTAACTTCAGGATATGTTGGTTGTTCTTTTACAGGAACAATTGTTATACCATCTTGGTCTTCGTATGGTTTCCCCACTTCAACATCTCTGTCTTTGACATTGACAACAACACTTTGACTGTTTGTTTGAGTTGGTGAATTTAACTTCACATCTGCCACCGCCATTAAACCTTTTGAAACACTCACGCTTCTATTTTTCGGAAATGACATTTTATTTAGAATAAAAAGATGGACGTATTCGGATATCTCTTCGAATTGAAGCAAAACAAGGTTTATACTCACAAACAATACAAATACATTGACAGAATAGTTCTTTATACAAACAATGGAAAATGTTATAGAATAGCAGTCTTTGCTGAACCAAAATATTTTCATAAAGCAAAGAAAGTTGGTATAACCGAGATGGTGAAAGTTCTTGAAGCAGACAAAAATATAACAACAAAACTGACCGATATTTCTAAAGGAAAGTTTATAATACAATATTATGTCAAAACTGGCGTACTGTCAATATTTGACGGAGAGAAGTCAGTTCAAGAACAACTTACTGACCTGCTGCCAAAATCTGCTCGATGGAAGCTGTCGTTATGCCAATCTGAGGAGCCCCAGCAGGTTTCATCGAACGAATCTTCAAAAGAGCATCTTCCGTGAAAAGTGCTATTGGTTTTGTAAACTTCTTTGCTCTCAGTTCATCTGGACCGTCTCTGTCACCAGTATATTGTATTTGAACTGTACCAACAGTTGAAATACCACCCATAAAGTCTTCTGAGTCAGCAAATGGAATGCCAAGCCAAAAGTTTGAACGGTCTCTATTTGTATATTGAGTTTTTGACCTCCTGTATGAGTCCATACTTTCACATATGGCATAATAGAACTTTGCATTTCAGGGTTAATGGTTGTTGTGAAGTTGTTGTTAAAGTCATAGCATCTAATGTCAAGTTGTATGACCTCATATCCTCAACTGTAGAATATTCTTCTCTTGGATAATATTTGCCATCTATGTTTATATGATATTTAATACCAGGGTTGTAGAAACAAGAATAGTCATTTATAGTTCGTCTGAACAGTAAAACATAGTATCTGCATGTTTCATTGAGTTGTTAAAAGCAATATCTGTTCTTGCACCTGGGTCAGCACTTTGGTTCCAACTTCACCTGCAAAGTCTTTGACAGATATTTGGTGTATAGGGAACATAAGTGGAACTGCAATATATTTGGCAGCTAAAGCATTTGAAATATCTGGGTCCAACATATAGACTGCAAGTCTGCTTTCTATTCTCTTGCATTCAAATTTTTCGCATGTGAACTTAACTGGGTCCAAGCAGTTCCAGCAGCATTGAAATAATAGTTTACTTCATTGTTGAAGTTTGAGAAACCAAAGTCTAAGTCAACTTTGTCTTTGCAAAATTCGGCGAATGACGTTTGATTTGTTCCCTTTACGTCTGTAATAGTGAATGGGTCTTGTGTTTGGTGCAATGACTAAGTTATTTTTGCTTGGAGTAAGTTCGATAGAAATTTTTCCTGCCCAGTTTGGCAAGTATCTTAAAAACCTGAAGATGAGGAAAGATGACAAAGGAACTCTAAGTTTCAGTTTTACTTTGGTTACTGCTGCTGCAGTTTGTCCAGAAAGGTTAACATAAACTCCTGGAACGTTAGGGTCAAGTCTTCTTATTTTCTCAATAGTTGCATACTGGTCTGTTTGTTCTCTAGCTTGTGGTTGTACTGAGTTTCTCAAAGCGAACCATTCATAGTTTGCCCATGTTACTGTTTGAACTAAGTCAGAGTTAGAATATATCTTATATCCCATGAAAACTTCTGGAGCATATTGGTATCCGACATAGAAAATTCCATTGCAACCTTTCTTGTCAGACAACTTGGCAGAAGGTTTTATTTCAATGTCTTGTTCCACGTATAAGAAAGAGTTTGTCAATAGAAATTATATGAAACCTGTCGCAAGCAATATCTACTGTTGTTGAAGAACCTTCTCCAAACTCACCTACGTTTCCATAAGAAACAGCAGTTGTATATTCGTAAGTTCCAGGAACTATTTCTGACCTTCTAATGGCATTGTCGCATTCGTTATACCATTCGGAAACATTTCCATTCATAGCATCCAAAACTGTTGGCGTTATATTCTGAGCGGCGTACATTTCATATGAGTAAAAATATAGAATAGTTGGATTTATATGTCATAATAAAACCCACGTGGAACAAGCTTTACTTTCTTCCTGACTGAGTTTTTAACTCTTCTTTTTCCTTCATTGCCCTCTGCTTGAAGTTGTTGCATCTTTGCATTATGTTCATCTAGTATGTTGCAAATTTCCCATGTCCTTTTTGCCTTTTGGCTCTGGTCGCCCATCTCAGGTAAACCTATATCCTAGAAAGAGTTTGTCATAGTCTGTATTTGAGTCTTCGCGTATTGTTTGCATGACTCTTTCCTGAGTTTCCGGTTCAAAGCTCTTCAAACAGTGCCTGTCCATATGGAATATGCTCGTTTCCAAATATATGTTTTTGTAGCCATTCTGGTTTTCTTTCCATGTTACCAATAATATCTTTTGTGAATGGGAAAGCTTTTACCCAATCTTTCAGTCTTGCGTCATTTATTTCTGTAGTTGGTTTTATTTTGTCAAGGAACATGTTTTTCAATACTAACATTTCATTTGGTACTGTCCATTTGAGTTTTCTTAAATATTCATCCCTTCTCGGTTCATTGTCTGCAAAGTAAGTTTTTATGACATTTTGTAAACTTTCGTTTGCAAGGTCATGTACAATAGGTTCTCTTCCTTCTCTGTCCATAACTTTTCTTTTCTAAACTCTTCACCAAATATACCATCTCTATGGTTCTGTGTAGTTCTTTGAGATAAATGTTCTAGAACGTCAGGTGTTATATTTCCATCAGCCATGTTCATTTCATACTGGTCCAAAATATCTGCATGTTTCATATCTTTCAATGGCATTAAAGCCGCGCTTAAAATACCAGCTATATCTGGTTCACCATTGACTTCCATTGCGTCTACAACTTCTTGGAATTGTGGTTGTAAGTTTATGAACCACCTATCCGGGTTAGCTTTATGACCCCATCTCATTGTAGTTCCATCGTCTGCAGAAACAAAAGTAGGTTTGTTTCCATCTTGGTTAGGTTCTGAATGAACTTTAAACAATGTTTCATTTCTATATGTTTTCTTGAAATTTAACCTTTTATTTTCACCGAGTTCATCCGAAGATTGAACGTTAAATGCTCGTAAGTAAAAAGGGTTGTTGTATTTGTGTACATTTTTTTTTCAGTTTTCCATTCTATGCTGGATATTTTCATCTGATGTTGGAGTCTTTTGTATGTCGGCAAACATTTTTCGATATTCTTCTACTATGTCAGCCGAATTTTGCTTAGACTCTTGGAAAGATTCCATATTCTCCGCATACTCTTGTTGAGGGTCAAGATTTTTCGGCTGTTCCAAATCTTCATCTAGTTCTGTGAAGTTAGTTTCCAAAGGAAGGACTTGTTCGTTTCTCAGGCTCTTCTAGCTGTTGTTGCTGAACTATTTCTTCCATGTCTGGTTGTATCTGAACTTCTTCCTGTGGAGTTTCTTGTACCTCATCTGCTGGCATTTCATATATTCCGAGACCGTTTTCAACAATTTCCCTATCTACGTCATCCGCATTCATAAGCTTTTGCTTTTCTCGTTCCGTCTCTATTTTTTACGCGTTTCATGACGAAAGTTGAATTGTCATTTGCTCTGACATCAAAATATCTCGGAGTAAATCATCCATGTCATTTGGATGATATGCTATTAAATCATATCCCTTAGCGAGCTTGTATTTTCCAGGTTTGAGATTATATCCGTTTTGGTGCTGAGCCATAAAGCTAAATAGGTTCGGTCAGTATTTCCATCCTTGAACTTTCTAATAGCTTCTTTATATCTGTCACTAAAGTCAACAGTATCTGGGAAACCACACTCTTCTTTAAGCATTTTTAAGAATTCTTGGTTTCCTTGTTCTCTACTTCTTTTATGTCCTTGCTCTGTTTGTGGTTGTTGTTGTGCAGGGTTTTGAACTGTTGGTTGTTGTGTTGGTTGTTGTTGTTGTTGTTGTTGTGCAGGGTTTTGAACTGTTGGTTGTTGTGTTGGTTTTGGTGCATGCCTGTGTCTATGTCCATGTGACGATGTAAATGTTTTAGGTAGTCCTGGTGCAGGTGCTTCTCTTGGAGGGTTTGGTGGTATATAAATTCCACCAGCTGGCACATATGTTCCATCTGCAGCGTAATGTCCTACCTGACTTTTCGTTTTTAAGAAAGCATTTACTAGGTCTGTTTTGGTCTGTTGTAACTCTTTTTCTTGACTTTTCACAACAGTTGCTCTAACGGCGTCATAGGCACTTTGAACTGCCTGTCTCGTTGCTGCATCTGTTATTTTCGTCATATTTTGTGCTACTTCCTTTAACTCTTTGTCGAAACCTTCAGACTTCAGTTTCTTTCCAGATGAGAAGTCGTTCACTTGTTTCACCTTACTATGAAGAGCTTCGAAGGCGTTCTTAAAGTCAGCATTTGTTAAAGCTTCATTTGAACTGTCTTCATCCGCTTGTATTTTTGTCCTTATTGACCCTATGAGTTGGGCTGCTTTAGCGTTGGCTTGGGCATCTAACCAGTCATTGTTAGCTTTTATATATTCTGCGCGCTTTTCATTGCCTTTTGCATAGCCGCGTCGTTATTTTTACTTTCTTGTGCTAAGTTTTCATACTGTACGGTTTGGTTTTGCAACTGTAAAAGTTTTCTGCCTTTACATTTGCTTCAACTTTCTTTTATTACTCATCGCTATCCATATATGTCTCAGGGCTTTTTGTTTTATCTCTTCATCTTTCAGTATTTTATATTGAGTAGTATGGTTTTTCAAATTTATGACATCTTGTTCCATTTTTGCTACTTCTGCTGCTTTTTCTGACACTTTTTTTGCATATTCCTCTGTACTTAGTTCTTTCAGTTGTTCTTCTTTCTTCTTTTTCTCTACGTTTAACTCATTGAGTTTCTTTGTGTGTCTGTCATATTCTAGTTTCTTTTCGTTTTCACTTATTTGTTTCTGTATGTCTATGTTTGACTTTTTGACATCTGTTATTTGATTTTTGAGTGAACTCAAATTCATTTGACTTTGAGGGTTATATGCTGTTCCGTCTGCAGCT